GAATATTGAAATCTAAATGCAAACTGAATTGTGATCCTCAATTGTTGATCTATTTATGACTTTGCAATTGCTTATTAAACAAAGAAAATTTGAACAAAGAGTAATTAAATAACATAAACATATTTTAATTATATTTTCGTTCTTCGAATATGATATTTATTAGCTCTCGTTTCCGAGTCATAAACATTATTAATTCTTAAATAAGCATGGTAATTACATTTCTTTAATAGGAATATTTTTATGACCAAGTGGTCTTCTTCGGTTTTGTATTACGAGTTCAGAATAATTATGAATTAGTCATTTGGGTGTGGTCAGATATGCTGATCGCTAACTCCCCCCTGCCTTAAGAGATTCGCCCCGGATCTCCATCATTAGATTCGCTTATTTCGTTAAATTTCTTTGTTAATTCCGATAATGCGAGTTCTTTTAATTCCTCTTCAGTCCTTTTAACATTTTCTTTTCTTTTAATTAAATGTATTTTAACATATTTTCTTAATTTAAAACATATATATATATATATATATATATTGTTATTATAAATACAAATACAATAATGATACTTAATAATTTATTGCGGCTGCTATTTAATTCATTTCTTATAGCTAAGAAGTTTATATTTTCAAACTCTGTAGTTTCGTTAAATGTTTCTATTACATCGAATATTGGTATTTTGTTATTTTTAAGATAATTGTTAATTATAGCTGTCGGGTTTTCATAAGTTATATTGTTTATTACTACATTATTATCAAAAGTTATTAAATATGAACCTTCTAATTTAGTTTGGTTTACAATATTGGTTCCTGATATTAAAATTACACCATCATTTATTATTTCTATTGATGTTGGTTTCTTTACAATGTTTTTACATTTTGCTTGTCTTGAATTTAGAATATTACTTAAACAGGTTTCTTTAAAAGATTTTTCACAATATGTATTATGCATTTCCTGTTTACAGTATTTTACGTTATCATATTGGTTGTGACATTTTACAATTTGTTTTTCGATTTTTAATTCAGTATTATTTATACTAATAGGTCTTACATCATATAACTTACATAATTTGTTTACGATAGGAAACTTAATATAAATAACAATGCAATCTTTTGTCTGGATTACCTTAAAATTAGAAGCATCTAATATGTCCGTGAGAGCTATTCTTTTCTCTTCAACTTTCATTATTTGTCTTATTTCTTTTAAATTCAAGATTCCTGTGAATAATATTTTAACTTTGGCTAAACTAATTGCATGTATTAAATTTGTTAAGTCGGTAAGAATTAACCTGTTTCTTTTTCGAAAAATTTTAATGTTTCCCCTAGTTTCTTTATTTGCTTCAAATTGATCCGTCAGTTTATTAATTATGTAAAATAATTTGGAATTTATAGTAAATTGTTTGTTGCTATTAATTATTAAGTCATTAATTTTCTGATTTATTTCGACAATGTCGTCATGGTCCGGTGTTCCCGCGATCCATTTCAAAAGTGTCCCTATTTCGTTTATCCCTCTTTTGATTCTATCGTTTAGTTTTAATTCTTCAAGAAGCGTTTCTATCATTTCGATTTCTTCTTCGATGCTTGTAATTTGGTTTTCCGAATCTGGTTTCCTTATTATTTTACTTAATAAAGTTCTATGTTCTAATATTAATTCATTATAATAAGTAAGGTTGGTTACGTGAAATTTATTTCCGAATGTCTCATATATCGCACAGTCGTCATTTTCAAGTAATACATTTCTTTCCCTTGTATAATCCACAATATCGCCGTTAATTAGGTGGATTGCAAGTGTTGCAATTGTCAAAATTCGTAAAGGCCACATCTGTAAAAATTATTTTATATTATCCTTATGAAAGATTCTATTGTTACTATATATCAATACTTTATTCCCTAAATCTTGCTTAACTTTTTGTTTTTTATATCGGGGTCTGAGTTTATTCCTTTCGTTTAATATTTTTTCATAAATTATATCCCCATCTTCGTATTTCCTTAATTGTCTATTCTTATTCTCGCGTTCCAATACTTTGCTTTGCACTGTTTTCAGTTTTTCTGGAATATCTGTATGTTTTACCTTATTAAATAATACCTCTACTGGTTGTAAATCAATAACTGAATGTATTGTTTTATTATATTGTTGAGCTGCTTTATAAATTGCTTCTATTGGATCGATTATTTGATATTCTTCCTTAATACATCTAGACATTTCAATTATTGTAGAATGTACTCTTTCCACTTGACCATTGGTTTTACTGTGTCCTGGTGAACAATATTTTAGTTCAATTTGCATTCTCTGCATTAACGATTTGAATTGTAAGGATGTGAATCCTGGTTCATTGTCTAGCATTAGTATCTTCGCATTTGGGAAAACTTGTAATATTTCTAAAACTTTTTCTTCTAACCTTGTTTTATCTTCTATCTGTTTAATCGTTAGAAATTTAGAGTAAGCGTCTATACAAGTTAAAAATATTTTTCCTTCGGCATGAAATATATCTAAATGGAGGTTTTCTCCTTCGTGTTCTGGAATTGGAGCTTCGCCTATCGGTACTATTATTGGGTTTCTGACGTATTTATTCCTATTACATATATCGCAATTCCTAATGTATTCTTTTAATTCTTTCAATAGTGTTGGCCAGTAATATTTATCTTTTATTTGTTTATAATTTTCATAAAAGTTTCTATGCGCTCTAGTATGTTCTTTCTCTATTACATTTTTCTTGTCCTCGCTCTCGGTGACATCTAGTGGCATTAGTTTTGTGTGTATAAATTTTATTTGTGGGAACGTCTGTACTAACATATCCTTTATGTCATATAAGGTTTCTGGTGTACAATATATTGCTGTAACCAAGTCAGGGTTTAAATATTCTGTAAGGATTGTTTTTAAATTGTCAGCGGTGTCGTAAGTTATCAAATGTCTTTTCTTTTCAAAAACGGTCAATTGTTCATGTACTGTGAAATTTCCTGGATGTATAACTAACTGTTGTTTAAATTGGTTCAAGGGCTTTTTCGTCTCGGGAATATGGGTCATGTCTAAGCTTTCACTTGAATGCTGTGTTTCTAGCGAACTAATCGATTCATTTTCGGATGATTCGGTTGTGGAATCTGTAACTTGGTTCAGGTGTTGTCGAGATAGAGCATCTGCTACAACGTTTGTTTTACCTGGCTTATAGATAATATTTGGTGAATATTCTTCCAACAAAAGTAACCATCTCTTAATCCTTGCATTGGGATTTCTTGGTGAAATTGAGAATGTGAGTGGTTGGTGATCCGTATGTATTTCTAAATCTTTTGTCCCATATAAATAATTTCTTAAAGTTTTTAATGCCCAAACTATTGCATATAGTTCCTTTTCGTTAGTTGCGTAAGCTTGTTGACATTTGTCCAAAGTTTTTGATATGAAAATTAGTGGTTTACCATCTTGTGATAGTACTGCACCGATCGCTTCATTTGATGCGTCAGTTGTCAAGATAAATTTCTTGGTGTAGTCCGGTTGATTTAGTTCTACTGTATTTTGTAATGCGTTCTTTAATGTTTCGAATGCTTTCTTAGCATCTCCATCTAAATCTATAAGTGTTCTTGCTGACATTCTATGAGATATTTTTCCTTTTCCGGTTAAGTACTTAGTTAACGGTTTCGCGATTTTAGCGTAATTCTTTATAAATTTTCGGTAATAGCCTGTTATTCCTAAAAATCCTCTTAACTGTCTTATTGTTTTGGGCTTTGGATATTGACTAATCGTTTCTATTTTCTTTGGGTCTGTTTTTATTATTCCCTCTGCTACAATATATCCTAAAAAATCTACTTCCCTTTGGTAAAATTTGGATTTCTCCAAAGAAATTTTCATATTTGCATCTTTCAAAGTTCGTATTATTGTCTTTAGATGTTCGGTGTGTTCTTCGATATTTTTCGAGAATATTATTATATCGTCTATGTAAACATGGCAGAATTTTCCTACGTATTCTCTTAATATGTTGTCCATTGCTCGTTGAAATATGCTAGGTGCATTTTTTAATCCGAATGGCATTCTTACGTATTCATATTTTCCATTGTTTACTGAAAATGCTGTTTTTTCAATATCTTCCGGTTTCATTAGGATTTGATGGAATCCTGATTCCAAATCAATGGTGCTAAAATATTTTGCTTGACCCAAGTTAGATAAAATTATTTCTGTTTCTGGTATTGGATATTTGTCTGATATTGTAACCTCATTTAATTTTTTATAATCAATTACTAGTCTCTGTTTTTGAGTCCCGTCCTCATTTAATCCTTTTTTTGAAACTATCCATATTGGTGAATTATAAGGACTTTTACTTGGTCGAATTATACCTTCATTTAACATCCTATTTATTTCTTCGTTTACAAAATTTGCTGCTGAGAATGGATATGGATATTGTCTACTCCAGACTGGTCCGTCATTTTTTGTTCTTATTTCAGCTTTAATGTCTGTTCGAAATGGTATTTTCATATCTATATTAGCGTGTTGAATTTCTATTTCTCTTCTTATTTCTTTACTTAATTTATCTTCAATATTTTCTTGTATGTTACAGTTGTGAAGCCATTCTTTTACATTATTAAATTTATTTCCTTTTTCTTTATATTTTATCTCCGTTTGAGTTCCTTTATCTATTTTACTATTTTTAGTATCCCCTTTTTCTTTTAATTCGCTTTCAGAGGTTATAATTTTTTCTACTCCTTTATTATACTGTAATTCCTTTTTGTCAATGTCGATCTTTGCCTTTATCATTTCTAAGAAATTATATCCTATTAATAGATCTGCTTCCAATGTATCTATTTCATAAAATCTTGTCTTTACTCCTAGTAGCGTAATGTCGTGATAATATTTTATTATCTTCGTTCCACTTATCGTTCTAACTTTTTTAAATATCGGTAAGGTTTGTTTGTTTTCGTATACTCCTTCCCTAATGTAACAACTCGTTGCTCCTGTATCTATTAAAATTGTGTATTTTTTTCCTGTTTTTAGGTCCGTCTTGATTATATAAGGCAGACCGTCGTTTACCCTAAAAAATGATTTTCTTCAATGTTATTGACCTTTTCGATTCGACGATCATCTTTATTGTCGATTAAATGGTTTGCCCTATGAGTTTTAGGTGGTGACACTATTTGATTAGAACCGTTATGAGGTCTTTTGATTGCCTGAGCGTTGTTGTTATTATTATAATTATGGTGATTGTAATTGGGATTATTGTTATTGAATTTATTCGGCGGCTGATAATTATTTCTAAACATTGGTGGTCTGTATTGTCTGTCATTGTTATAGTTGTGGTTATAATTAGTATTCTGTCTGTATTGAATGCTCGTGTCAACATCCATTGGTTCTGGTTTGAGTTGGGGTTTATGTTGTTGAGCAATTGGGTAACGCATGCGGTTATCGTTTTTGTGTTTGTGTCTATTCGACAACATGTTATTTCGGACGTGTTTGTCATAATTATAAGCTATTTGTGCGCGTTGATAGTTTGATTCTATTTCTTGTGCCTTAGCTAACGCGTTTGGTAAATCTGTCGGTTGCATAGAAGCTACTATATTATTATATGGAGCGTTAAGACCTGATATGAATACTTTAAGTGCTGTCTGTCTATGAAAGTCATTGGATTCTTTCGTTATTGTCCTGTCGTTGCCGTAGGTCATGATTGTCTTGTTAATTAATAGAGTCAATTTTTCGTTAACCTTATTATAGTATTCCATAATGGTTGAATCTCCCTGTCGTAACATATTTAATTCAGTTTCTAATATATGTCTCGGCCGTTTATCTGCGAATGCGCAGTCTAATCTAGCTATTATTGCATCAAAATTTAGTGGAGTATTATGACTATTTAAAATTGTGTCCGCCTCGCCAACGCATTTCATCCTTATCTTATTTAATGAATATATGTATGGCCTACTACATTTCTTATGTAATTTCATTACATTATGGGCAGCTTGTCTCCACGACACGTATCCACTTTGATTCCTTAATTCGGGTAAGGCGTTTGCTAGTGATGAATCTGATCTATCATCAATTGTGTCATCTACTTCCTCATCTTCATAATCTATGTATTTTGTTTCACCCGTAAACGATTCAAATTTTTTATTTAAATGTTTTACCTGATCAACTAATTGTCGAGTCTGTTCTCCTATTAATTTCTGTATATCCCCCATAGTTAGTGTAACTGTCATTTCGTGTGGACCTGGCATTTTGTAATCCTGATTGCACTTATTTTTATCTATATAACTTAATTTTACCTTACTGTTGAGTTCTGGAACTGTTTTACTTCTAGACTTCTTTTGTTTCTTCCTTCCTTCTATTTCTTCGGCTTATTTTCTGAGCTTCCTTCTTTTTCTCGGCTTTATTTCTGAGCTTCCTTCTTCTTTCTCGGCTTGTTCTGCTTCTTTTGGCTTGTATTTCTTCTTGTTTTATTATTTTTATTTATTTTGTTAATTTTTGTTTTATATTTTTCGGACGAATTATTTCGGTTAAACGCTTAATTTTCTTATTTTTGGTTGCGCGGAACGGTTTAGTGGATTTACTATTTCACTGTGTGTCCTTTTTAATTTCTTATGGCTTATAATTTCGCACTCACTATCGTATCCTTCTTCGGATTCGTAAACACAGTCATAAGATTCACAGTTCAGATTTTCGATTGTATTAATCGAAAGGTCCGATGTATTTAAACAGTTTCTTTGGAAGTTCTCTTCCATTCACTTGGTTGGCACGGTATCCCTATTATTTTTTGGGAGACCAATTTATTTCACTGAATATATTGTGGCGTGGTATCCTTTTCTTTTAGGAGACCTTTTATTTATTTTATCGGCGTGGTATCCTTTTACTTTAGGAGACCTTTATATATATTTTTTAATGGCGTGGTATCCTTTTACTTTAGGAGACCTTTTATTTTTAATGGCGTGGTATCCTTTCACTTTAGGAGACCTTTTATTTTTAATGGCGTGGTATCCTTTCACTTTAGGAGACCTTTTATTTTTAATGGCGTGGTATCCTTTCACTTTAGGAGACCTTTTATTTTTAATGGCGTGGTATCCTTTCACTTTAGGAGACCTTTTATTTTTAATGGCGTGGTATCCTTTTTGGAGACCTTTATTTATTTTCAATTTTTTATTCACTTTTCCACTTTTCCGCATGTGAGGATCTGAGTCCTTGATTTTTTATCTTCACCTTTTTTTCACTTCGAGGATCTGTCCTTGGGTTTTTTTGTCTTCACCTTCACTTCGAGGATCTATGTCCTGGGTAATGAGTTGCACTTTTTAGATTCAATTTATTGTCCTTTAGAAAAATGAGCGGCCCCACGTTGGGCGCCAATTATGTGGTTCAGTCCAAGTTGTTTTAAAAAAAATAATATTTTTAATTTTTTATTAAAACACTTTATTAATTTAAACTTATTAAAACTTTCTTTATTTGAACTTGAACTTATCTTACACTTATCACTTATTATAATTATTAAGGGTTCGAGCCGTCTTTCTAAAATAAGGACCGGAGAGTAATCTTTTCCGTACGCGTATATTGAAATCTAAATGCAAACTGATTTGTGATATCCAATTGTTGATCTATTTATGACTTCTGTAATTTACTTATTGAACAAAGGAAATTTGAACAAAGGGTAATTAAATAACATAAACATATTTTAATTATATTTTCGTTTTCGAATACGATATTTATTAGCTCACGTTTCCGAGTCATAAACATTATTAATTCTTAAATAAGCATGGTAATTACATTTCTTTAATAGGAAAATATTTTTATGACCAAGTGGTCTTCTTCTATTACGAGTTCAGAATAATTATGAATTAGTCATTTGGGTGTGGTCAGATATGCTGATCGCTAACTTGCAGGCCTCTAACATTTTGATATAGAATCGGTAAGACTATATTTAGTTTATTGAAGCAGGTGGAATATTCACAGTTCTAGGAATGTATGGACGTTCCCTGAAAACAAACTCTTTTACCAAGATACCATCGGGCCAAAACGAATTGTTTACTATAAAATTTAAAAATTTATTAGGAACAATTATTTTAAATGAAGCAATATCCCGAGGTTGAGATGAATTGAATTTAAATATTTTTAAATCACTATCGGATAAATCGTTTATTTTAGATTTCACATAGTCACGGATATTATCAGTAGAGGTGTTAGGGTGAAGCCTAGATATAAACACGGTTTTACGTGGAGCTACAACAATCAATTGGTTTGAAGAGGATGGTCCAGTTCCAATATTACCAACATTAGGGGGAATAACAGCATTTGAGGGTTGGCCATTGACAACAATAGCAGGAGGTAAGGTTGCAGAAGTAGATGCTGAAGTTGATTCAGAATTAAGTTCAGTAGCTAAATTTAAATTAGAAACCGGAGCAGGCAATTGATTACCTTCAGTAATTACACTTTCCATATTGGAGGGGCAATTTGCCACTATAGGAGAGTACAGACTAATTAAGTTATCTGGACCTAGATTTGATGAACTGGGACCACTAGCAATATTAACTGATTTTTTCCTTTTAGGGGAGCAATCGGGAAGTTCAAACTTATTGACCATTTTTCGATGTTTTTAAAATTTTGATAAACCGAATTGAAACTTTTTTTTTAAATTTAAAATTTCTGAACTGGTTTCCTTAAAAAGCCGATGAAAATTTACCTCTAGATCCCTACATTACCTCTAGATCCCTACATTCTACATTCGGATTTAATGTTGATCAAATCGGTTATTCAATTTGCTTTCCGACGCGTTTCACCTTAGGACTTCATCTACTTTTGGTAAACATAATAGATTGTGCAAAGTTTGGTTCGAATCGGACATTCTATTCGCCTGATATTGGATTTTTGTAAATATTGAAAATTTTGACCATTTGTGGGGGAGATATAAAAAGAACAGGATCAATAGGTCCAATCTTCTGCCTTTATCTAGACTTGGTAAAATAATAAGTTGTACAAAGTTTAGTTCAAATCGGAAAATACGTTCGAATGTTATTAAAAACTTATTTTTTTGTACAATTTTGAACATTTTGTGGAGGAGGTACAGGAAGGACCGATATTCCCCATTTTCGCACTTGAGCTGAGTGTGAAAGAAATATTACGGTGTGCAAAGTTTTGCATGAAATCGGTTATCGGATTTATCGTGCGCACAAGACAGATGGACGGTCATTTGTAAATCGACTCCAAATTGTCGAAGAGACACATTTTTGCCCTAGAAAAGTTTACATACCCTCATTAGTCATAAGGCTGAGGATATAATAAAATGTGATAAGTTTCATTAAAAACGGATCAGATATAGATTTAGCTAATATATGTATTTTCGTCTTATTTTATGTAAATGGTACACCAAATACCTCTATTATGAGGATTTATTAGACATCTATGTAAGGGAATAGACAATTTAGATCTATTCCCGGTAGAGAGTGTTTAACTTCATGTACTTTTCCAATTTGATTATTTCCTTTAAGATTCCCAAGCATGAGAGATAATTAAAAAGTAGATTGTTTAAAACAAAATTCGTTCTGCTCTCTGTCGGGCAGTTTCTCCCCAAACATATTCACTACAATTAATTAATCGAAATATATACGGTCACACTTTAAACAATATGTTGTCATTTTAGGAACTCTAGACCAAAATTGAGACTAAATATAAAAATTTAATTCGATTTTAATGGTATTTTGTTAAGAACCACAATGGGAAAAATAACATTCAACCATTTACAGAAAGACAGTTGTTAAATTAAACACACCAACACACACACACACATAAAACTTTCGCCAACACACGCAGCCTCAAACACACTCTCTTCTTCCCTCTTAAGACAAATGTTATGTTTGGCAGCAACGATAAGAAAGACATGAACATTCCTGATTCCATTCGCTTCAATGTAAGTGTAAGTGAGGTGCGAAATGAAAATGAAAAGTGCAATGAAATCTTAAGTGAATTAAAATCCTTGCTTGCTTTAACTAAAAATAGGATTGTGGCGACTATTGTAACCCATGTAACCACAGCTCAGAGAGTATTCGGTTAGTTTGATTAGAAAATTTCTTACACATTAAAATTTATTACAATTCAGTCAGGCATCAGGCGTGTGACACTGTTCATGTTCAAATATTACAGATGTTACCGAGGGTATTTTGTGTGTTAGGGGTTTCTTCATCAGCAGCTTAATGAAAAACAATTTTTGACATATTTTCGTAAGAACATTAGCCGTCGAAGAGGATTAAAAAATTCGACACCATAAGGCGATTGTGGATGACTGTTATTTAATAATGTTGTTATTATAGAAGATAGAAATTATAATAAGAAAGAAATTGTAAGCTTGTTGAATTTAATTAAATTGTTGAAGATAATTAAAAATTAAAATATCATAACAAGTGTTTTATGCAAACAAATTGATAATGGAAGGAAGTTTAAAAGATCTTCTGTTGAAATTTGAATTTTTCCTTCGAACTAAATAAGAAACCCTAAGAGCATAACAGTATATTCGGCCCGTCCGACACATTATATGATACCTTACACAACAACCACTGGACTCAAACTTTTAGCGGATCTATATTCCGAACCTGGACAATAATTCACGATATTTTCACCCTCTTGACCGGTAAGAAGTCAACAGTCTTTTTTACCCTGGTATATTTTACGAATAACCTCTTTCCCAGAGTGAAGATTTACACCAGAACATTGAAATATTTTATTTTACACGTAAGTCTTGGTTTATTTGACTCGCTATAAATATCAAAACAACCATAAATCCCACATCCGAGTAAATACAACAATGTAATTGGTATAAATTTAATGACCACCTCTTGCATATACTGTCAACTTCTCTGTTTTATGTCCTTCAGAAATATATGCCACAGAATGCACATTTCTAAGTTTTTCACACGAAAGTCTGAGTCCATTTGAGACGCTAAAGATCCACATAACTAGTATGAGATATTAATAGATTGGTGTATGACCAATATTTCGCGGCGTTAAAAACTCTTGTGGCCACACAAACTTATAATACTCTCACACCATAGCTGTTTGGGGTATAACAAATAAAAACATCATTAAGATCGGCCGGAGCAAAGTTTGAGGCCAATACTGGTAATTTTATTGTAAGAATTATTTCTTTTTATTCAAAATACAAAATATTAAATAACCAGTAAGGAAAGTAGTAAAGTTGAAGGGGCCG